AGATACTTTCTCTGTTTGGGGTCATCTACCCCCTTTCATGCCTTATTTCCTCATGTTTTGAGCTATGCATGTGAGCACTTGCATTGGCCTTGATTTGGCCTTTTAGCCACTGAAATCCAGTGGATTTTCAGTGGACTAGATGTGCCTTTGAGCTTCAAAATCATAGAGGGGTGACCCTCTCACTCCTCATTCTCTTTACTAGCTTTGTTGGCCTCCCAAAGGGACCCTCACTTGCATGTTGTGAAGTCACTTTTTGGGCTCAATTTGGTGAGTTTCAAGGCCTGCCTTAGCTCTGTCCAGAGCCTCTTTGGTCTTATTTTGTGTCCGTAATGCATGTGTATAACAATCCCATTCAAGGCCTTTCAAAGGGACCTTTCATTGCATGCTTCCTAGACCAATTTCAGGCTCTTTCTGGTGGGTTTTAGGGCTGTCATAACTCATTTCTAGAGGTGGTTTTGCCCTTTTGTTTGTGTATCACGTATGTGTAGAACAACCCCTTGCATGGCCCCCCAAAGAAGCACATCATTTTTGCATGCATTGGATGCATTTCAGTGGTTATTTGGGGTTTATTTGGCATGAAATACTTCTATTTTTGGCTGGTTGGGTGAGCCCTCATATGCTTCATATAGCTATAGAACAACTCATGGTTCACTAGCCTATGTTGCATGTTGTTTTGGCCCTTCATGTTGGCACCTTTTGGCCATGCCTTGAACTGATAATGTGCTCATTTTGGACTACCCTAGCTCTGTTTTTAGGTCTTGTGGTTGAATGATGTTAGTTTTGCATGCTTGTAGTTCAATGCACTTGCCTATCATTGAGTTTTGAGGTTCGTTGCATGCATGAACTGAGATATTTCCATGTTTTGAGCCTATCATTCATCACATTTCCGAGCTTGTTTGAATGCCATGTTGCCATGTTTTCATCTCTTTAAATGCGTTTGAGAGTCAGGCTTATATGCCTCATTTACCGACTATTGAATGAGTTCCATTTTGTTGCATTCCGAACCATCATTTTAGGCCATTTCTTACTGTTTCAGACCTGGCTAGGACCTCTTTGAGGTTGGTTTTGCCTTTGGTGCATTGCTTTGGGTACCTCTAGAGTAACGCACTTCACTAGTTTCGGTACCCGGGCCCCCTAGCTTGTATTGTGCGCCATGTTTGCATGTTTCGGGACCATTTTGTATCATGTTTCAAAGCTGTATCATGTGCCATTCTATGCCATATTTCATCCTCTGCCATGCTTAGTTAGAGTTGCATGTCATGCCTTAGGATCGGTCCTTTGCATCCGTGCAAGTTTGCACGTATTTCGGTTGTCTCATTTTCATCTAATGGCCACTGATGTGAGTGTGGCTGAGGTCCACTCATGTTGGTATAAGTCCATCGTGCATTGTGTATGCCAGGTTGCATATTAGTCGCATTGTGCATGCCATGCATATTGCATTGTGTTTGGAGTAGGGTTTAGTCCAAACACGGGAAATGAAGGACGTTTCGTACTCTAAGTGACGAAACGTGTCTCAATTCCAGTCGCCAACACTCCGGATTATCCATGATGGAGTCTAGGCCTTGTTGTGTTTTCATGTGCATTCATATCACATCGAGTCGTGCATTTTGACTCCTCGGCCATCATGCATCGAGATGCGTGATTGGTGGCACGAGGATCGAGGTGTGCATACATATGTGAAAATACTTTGTCATGCCCCTTTCTTGCTCTCTGTTGCAGCAAATCAGAAATCAGCAGCTTTCTAAAGCCTTACACAGCATTCCGGCATCAATTGCAAAGAGAGGCGAATCGGGGCATCGCGATGGATTTCCGCACCAGGCAACTCAAGCATGCATCTTTCATCATTCGGAACAGAGTCGAGGCGGTCCATAGCTTGCATGCTAATTTACTTGCTTTCCTAGTTAAATTGTTAATTAATTAGGGTTTTGTACTTATTCAGACTGTAATTATTATTCGGACTGTATTATTTATTCGGACCCTCCGAGCGAGGGCAAAACTGTAATAAGTGTGCGTGAGTGTGATGCATGTCTTCCAACCACACGTCTTTCTTCCCTTTTATTTATCCGCTTATGATGGTTAGATTAGGGCATGTTTCAATTAGCATACAGTATGACAGCATGTTTGCATTCATTCATCTGTATTGCATGCACCGGGCTCGGCGCATCATACTAACTGCATTGTATTTTCAATTCCAAGTTGAATACATGTTAGCTGTAGCATTTCATATGCCACGAGTTGAATACTTGATAGTTGTAGCACTCCACATGCCATCTATAGAATAGCCGAGCCTATTTTAGTTGCATTTTACATGTGTTGCATTGGGCATTTCTGTATTGTTAGGATCATGCATGGATTTCTAATCGGTTTCTGTTTTGGCTTGGAGTACTCGGTAAGTTTTATGCTTTAGCATCCTTGCATGTGTGTGAGTGATTGCCATGATAGCATGCTTACCATGAGGCTATGTGCTTATGTGATATACCTACCTGAATACCTGTGGGTGGAGGTTGGGTTATCTGAATTGGAATAATTCATTAAATGCGAGTTTTAAGCCCACTTGAGAGTGGCAAAATCATTTTTTTCTAAGCCCACCCGAGGGTGGCAAATCCACGTCTTAGCCTACTTACGAGTAGCGCCATCAAACTATTTTCAAAACAAATATGAAATGTTTTGTTCCAATTCAGGCGATCCGGTCTATACTTGTATGCTGAGCGCATCACATAGTAAATCTAGGCTAATAACCGGAATAAGAATACATAATGTTTTCAAAACCCGATATCATGGTTAGTAGAGGCCAATCTTTGATCGGGCGAGCGGGGGTGCTCACGAAGTGACCTTCCCCAATCGTACCCAAGTTCCCGAGCCGAGGCAACTTTGGTGATGACGGACACGTAGCCTCAGGCAAACGAGTTAGGGTTTCCTAAATTTCCCAAAATAAAATATTTAGGTGGCGACTCTGTATCTGGCAAAGCAGTCCATGTTTGGCACTTCTTTCAAAAAAATCTGTTTTCAAAAATGATTTGCCGGATTTGGACTCTTTGATGATTCATCGGGGTCTTGCATTACACTCTGCGAGATTAGATACAGGACCGTGACTTTGAGTCCTGAACTGTAGTGAGCCCAATGAACAAAATGGGAGATTTCCGCCCAGGACGTTCGGGGACATCCACACCAGTTTGACATGAAAGTATGAATGGGCCAAAGGCCTATTTGGCATGAATGACAGTATGAATGGGCCAAAGGCCAGTTCGACACGATTGAAAGTATGGATGGGCCAAAGGCCAGTTTGACACGAATGAGTTGGGCCCGAGGCCGTATGATGTGTTTGGAACTGCAGTTACTCGGCTTGTATTTATGTGTATATGCTAGATAGAAATATGAATTGGGCCCAAGGCCGTTTGAAGCACGTTGTTCTAAATACTGTTTGTGTATTTACTTTACTCAATATTATTCACTGGGCTTTCGCTCACACTCATTCATGTGTTTGTAGGTGAGCCAAGAGAGATCCAAACCCAGCCTCAGTGAAGTCTGTGTGGAACAACCAAGGTTTTGAAGAGTCAGCCCTTGCGTCTCACGCACAAGACTCGTCTTCGCCCTTTTGTTATCCTATTTTATTTTGTCATGTTGGCGAAGACTTTGAATCCGTTTGTATATAGTTTTCATGGGTTGACTTAGACTTAAATGATTCTGCCTGTACAGAACTTTATGCTACTGTATTTCCTGATGTGAGTTATTAATATGCATATGTGTGGTTTGTTATGATGTGCCATGTAAGCACAGCTCTATGGACAAAGTTCTAAATTTTGCTTCCGTTTGGCCCCTTTACTCTGATGAGTTATGTCTGATTTGGTTTGAGGCCGTAGGTAATCTCAGGATTACTGGCCGGTTATGTCCTTAACCCATGGGGGCGGGATCGGGTCATGACACTAGAAGTCGATCAGGAAAGGGTTTTGAATAGAAGTGTCCAACATTGATGTGAATCCAGCTAACTCGTCTTCCTTACTGTTTTGAACAGGGCCAATTGGTTCTATCCTGACGACCTCAAACTTCTTGATTTCTACTCGGACCAGCTCTTCATACTTGGTCATTATGTCGCCCTTTGCTTCCTACTCACCCAATATTTTGTTTACTACCAATTGGGAGTTACTATACACTATTAGCTCGATAGCCTTCATCCGAAAGTCTGATTTTAGGCCGGCCAAGAGTGCTTCATACTCTACTTCACTGTTGGATGCTGGAAACCCAAGTCTGATCGCCTGTTCATTAGTCAGGCCATTTGGCGAGATGAGGACTATTCCAAGTCCAGCTTCATGTCTATTAGAACACTACTAGAAAAAGGGGCATTTGACACGGAACAATTTGCGACGGTTTAGGTGCCGTCACAAAAGCTTGCTTTTTGCGACGATTTAAGTGCCGTCATGGAATTTATAGTTTTTGCGACGGAAAAAGTTAGACCGTGGCAAAAAGTAAGGTTATATGCGACGGTAAGTTAAACGTGGCAAAATTTTTCTGATTTTAAATTTTTTTTCCTGTTTTGCGACGTTCTTTTGGCAATTCGTCGCAAAATTTTACTTTTTTCTCTTTCATTTGCGACGGGCCTTAATATCGTCGCAAATAGTAATTCCTAAATTCGTGCCAAAATCCCCTCCCACTCTCCCTCTTTCCCGATATTCCCAAATTCTCTGTTATCTCTTGGGATCAAAAAGAAAAAAAGCCCTAATCTCACTGCTCTCTCCCTCCCTCTCACCCAATCGTCACTCTATCTCTCTTACAGCGGCAACAGCAACGTCTAGGTGACCCTCTTCTTTCCTCTCTCTCTTGCCCACGCATACCCTCCCTCTCACTCAGTCGTCATTCTGTCTCTCTTGCAGCGGCAACAACAGGGTCTAGGTAACCCTCTTCTTTTCAGTTTGTTTTCATAATATAAGGTTTGTTTTCAAGAAATGTTGGTTTTCATGTGCTATTCGTATATTATTCAAGAATACATTTGTCATGATCTCTAGGTGTTCCTGAGAGGCAGGGCAAGTGGAAAGTTACGACGCAGTCTAGGGAATTTCTCAAGTCTATCAAGCGATACTACAGTAATGCTTATACTGATGGTGAAAAGCAAGATGCGATTAATTTGTAATCATCTATTCCTGTTGTTTCTTCTCATTGATCCATTATTCTTTCTAGGGGTTGTCACACACAATGCACGTGGTTGTTATATACTACGTAACCTTCCCACCTCCATTTTTGACTGAACCTTCTCATCGTATTTGAAATTTAGCTACAACTGTTCCACTATAGTCTCTCTCTCTCTCTCTCTCTCTCTCTCTCTCTAATTGGTTTATTAACTGCATTCTTTGTCCACAACTTCTCACAAATAAAAACTCAAACATGACAATTTTGAAAATTTTAAAATCTATAACTTGACAACTTCATTTTTTTGTTCACACCAAACAGATGTTCTGGCTTTATATGTTAGTATAGATAAATGTTGTTCGAGCATGTGGTGTTATAACTGTACTGAGTTTCCTCTATCCTCAGTATACGGGATGAAAGAAGCCTTTGATTTGAATCACCAGCACATGGTTCCTCACTTAGTTGTAACAAAGTTTCGTGGAAATGTAGGATGCTTCAAATTTATTACTTAATCTTTGTTTGCTGGGTTTATCAGATTTTTAGGTTACTTCCAACCACAGGAAGGGAAACCTGCACTTTGGGTGCTGGATTCTGATTATTATCTTCATGTATCTGGGATAGGAGATGACCTTTTTATCCCGGATAACAGGTAAACCTCAACGTGTTTCAAATTTTTGAGGCATCTCACCTTATATTATTCTCTTGTCTCTCCTTGTAAGTAGTTAAGTTAACCTCAGTTATCTAATTTGACCATCAGAATGGGTAGTGGGAGGGGTATATTGCTTTGCAAGTTTTAATTGTATCTAGTTACTGTTTCATCCTGAACTGACACATCAAAAAAAAAAAAAAAAGGAAAAAAAAAAAGAAGAAGATTGCTTTATCCTTTAGTTTAACTAAAAACAATTGGTATGGCGTGTTTTAGTATGTTGTACTGTAAATTTTTCAAGAGATTTAGCAAATACTGGGACAAAAGTGTGTCCCTGTGCATTTACACATGTTATATATTTAATGAAATAGGAAGGATCTGAAAAAGCCCATCATGAAACATTGTTATTTTCAACTATAGAATGTATCCAAGAATTCAAATTTGCAAATGTTTTTGAAATTGTGTTAAATTCTGAATCTGAAACTACTGTTGTTTCCTATTCTTTTTGAGTGGTGATCTCTGATCTGAATGTTTATTTTAATTTTTATGTTTTTATCTAATTACATATAAATGCATTGATTAATTTAAATTCACAGTTCCCTATCTGAGGCTAAGCTTATGGGAGCAAGAACTACTTTTGCCCCTATTTCGGCTTGCAGAGAGGACTTCTCACGGTTGAAGCTGACATCATTTGATAAGTTGATAGAGAGAACATGCAGTTCAATACATAATGTAAGGCTTTTCGGTGAACCAGATCATAAACCTTGGAATTCTGGAGTGGCACCTGATGCAGCGTAATTATCTACTTGAGCTATGTAAATATCCTTCTTGGTTTAGCATTGCATTTCTTTTCTTTTCTGCATCTAATTCTACTCCCTCAACATGATGGAAAATGTAGCCATAGACCAACAAATCATTGTAGAAGATTCTGCTGTAGTTTATTAGTTTTGCATCCATATTTGTCATTAAGTTCTGGATAATTGCTTTTGATTGTTTTTGCTTCCTTGTTGCTTGTGTTCTTTGATGTGGTTGGTGTTATTAATTTATCCTTGGAGGTTTGTGTTTCTTTTAATGTTGCATTTATCTTCTTTTTGGTGTAGAACATAGTAGAGGGGAGAGGAAAGAATCAACAGGCCACTGCATTAAACACTGACAATACTATTAGAACCAAATCTGATTAATACAATGAAAGACCTATTACAGGCTAATTACCCTAATCAAAATACGAAACTAAACCTATAGAATATTTGGAAACACAATCAAAGTATCCAGACTAGAAATTATTTGAATCCTAACTAAATAATAATTACACCAAATCTACCAATTACTTTTATTTGACCAAATTAAAGTGATATCTTTTTACATGGTCTTACGTGGGGCATGCATAGAGTCCCGGGGATTAGTCTTTGATGTTTTTAGACTTGAAAGGGGGTTGTGGGAGCAAGGGTTTGGCTCATGAGAAGAGCAGCACTGCATTTGCCTATTTGGTTGAAGTGGAGTATGAGAACCTTTGGAAGGGAGGGGATGCTGATCCATTTTCTGAAGTATACCTATGTTTTTGAAGTTTGTATTGGGGTTTTCATTTTTTTTCGGACTTGTGTTTGGGTTATTTAAGCTTGTCGTATATTTTCCAATCCTGCTTATGTATTTAGTGCTTACGTGGGTTTTACCCTCTTGGGGGTTGGGGCATTTCAGTGGTTGCTTTTACTTACCAAAAGAGAGTATGCATACATATTTATTCTTAGTGTATTACCTTTCACTGGTATGTGACAGTTTGAATTTATTTAGCAAGAATGAGTCAGAAACTTTCCTTTCCTTATTTCTTGGCTGCTGGCTTATTGTTTTTTTTTGTATGAGATTGAAAGATAGATACGTCTATGTTCTCTCCAGTAATGTTACATATGGAACTTCAATTTTCTCATTAACTACCCCAGTGCTGAAATGAATTTTGTTTTATGCTGTTGTATTTCTGAATTCGATTACTTAGGCATATGTTATAATGATTACACTGAATTTATTTATTTATTTTTCCCAGTGAAATACAACTCAAAAGTCCAAACTGGCTTTTTGGCCAGAGGAAGTATGAGGAAAGTAACTGTGCACCCAAGGTGGCTTCACAGGAAACTGCAAATGGAAGGTGTCAAGATGAGAAGAGAGTAGATGGCTTGTGTGACCTCAAGTGGCTTTCTTTTAGCAGTGATGTCAATGAAAAGGATGTCTTTAAGAGGTATTTCTATTCAAAACCATTATTTGTGAATCATATTCTATGAATATGATATCTTTCCAAGTATCTATCTATTTAATCCCAAAGGGTGTGGCTTGGTGGGAGAAGAAGGCAACCAAAGGGCTTACCACCCAGGAGGTTGCAGGGTTGAATCTCATGAAGGCCAAACATCCCAAACCTTAGGGCCGCTGAAGGTTGGGCTGATCGTTAACTTCAGGGTCCGGGATTAGTTGAGGTGCGCATAAGCTGGTCCGGACATCTGGTTATCAAAAAACAAAAAAAAGAAGTTATCTATCTATCTATATAAAACTAGTGGATCTAAGTATCTAAATTGGGTAGGGGTGTCTAACACATATCTCGGGCCCTTACCTTGGTCATATCATATCCAATGGGGGAAATATAAGAGTTTATGTAACACAATCCACAGCTAAAAACGGAACTCGAAACTGATTCTCGGGCCCTTACCTTGGTCATATCATATCCAATGGGGGAAATATAAGAGTTTATGTAACACAATCCACAGCTAAAAACGGAACTCGAAACTGATTCTCGATTTTGAATCTAGAGCTTAATTTTTGTTAATGAAAACTTGTTACTTAATAACTCTTTTTCAAACCAGTTGACACACTAAAATGCTCAAACGGGTTCGGATGTCAACGAAACTTGACACGCACAACTTACTAGGCACACATGACTTGTAGAAGAAGACGGAACTCGAAACCGAATCCCGGTTTTGAATCTAGAGCCTAATTTCAGTTTATGAAAACTTATTAGTTAATAACTCTTTTTCAAATCGGATGACGCGCTAAAATGCTCAAACGGGTTCGGATTTCAACGAAACTTGACACGCGCAACATAGTTGGCACACATGACTTGTAGGAGAAGACGGAATTCGATGAAAACTTCTTCTTTACAAATTCTTTTTGTGTTTATTCGATTATTGTTAGATTATAGCTCAATGTGTACAATCATTGCCTATTTTTAATAGTATTATCATTATTGTAGGATGTAATTAAAATTTCTTTGGAGAGTTATGTAATACCAAGAGTCCAATTGCGGAGGGACTTCTTATTAGTGTCGATTCGTTGTGTGAAATTGATGGAGTTCTAATTGGCCTTGAATTTTGCAAAGTTTTTGTTTTAAAAGCGAACAAGCCGAACGTTGTTTTGGAAACAACATTCCGATGTCTAAGAACAGTTGGAGAAGCTGTGGGAAGATACATTGTGTGGCGCTCAATTCATGTATATGTTACAATCTTATTTATTTATTTATTGAAATAAATATCAAATGTTTTACATTTTCTGTAAGCTTGAAATTAATTTATATTGTGAATGATTTTTTTTTTTGTTTTTTTTTTTTGCAGGTGCAACCCTTTTGAGTACGTGATGATATCTTCGCATATCGATATTAGAGTTTACAATCTTATTTATTGAAAAAAATATCAAATGTTTTACATTTTTTGTAAGCTTGAAAATAATTATGTTGTAAATGATGATTTTTTTTTCTTTTTTGTTTCTTTTTGCAGATGCAAACTTTTGGAGTACGTGATATCTTCGCTTATCGATATGGGAGCTTACTATTGATATCAAAACAAGCCACATTATATTTGTTTTTATTTTTTATTTTTTTATTTCTATTGCCGATACTAAAAATTTGAGTTCTTGAATTTCAAAAATTATTAGTATTGTTAAAGGTTATTTTATATATTTTTGTAAAGAATATTTGATTGACAATTGTTACAAGGTACATATATTATTCTTGGTATATGATTTTTTGAATGTGAATTTGGATGTGGATATGGGTGTATTTTAAAAAATATTAATAATTTGTATAGGGAATATTTAATAAAACATGATTTTATAAAAAATAATTTTATTGCGACAATAATAAACCGTCGCTAATGGAATTCTCATTTCCTTATATTTTATTAGCGATGGGTTAGCCTATCGCATATACATATTAGTTCCAATCTTTTGCGACGGTTTAAACTGTTGCCCATACGGTATTAACTTAATACTATTTTTTTGGCAACGTTTTGGACCGTCGCTAATAATACTTTTTGCGACGACAATCAACATTGTCACTAAAAATGCCATTTTTCCGCTTTTTTTGTGTCAGGCGAAACCGTCGCAAAAACTATTGATTAGCCGTCGCTAAAAGAAAGCGACGGTTTGTAACCGTCGCAAATACTTTTTGTCACGCCCCTTTCCAAAATAATTATTCAAAATAATAATAAAGACAAATAATAAAACAATTAAAAAAATGGATTATTTGTTTCAAAATAATTATTCAAAATAATAATAAAGACAAATAATAAAACAATTAAAAAAATGGATTATTTGTTTCAAAATAATTATTCAAAATAATAATAAAGACAAATAATAAAACAATTAAAAAAATGGATTATTTGTTTCAAAATAATTATTCAAAATAATAATAAAGACAAATAATAAAACAATTAAAAAAATGGATTATTTGTTTCAAAATAATTATTCAAAATAATAATAAAGACAAATAATAAAACAATTAAAAAAATGGATTATTTGTTTCAAAATAATTATTCAAAATAATAATAAAGACAAATAATAAAACAATTAAAAAAATGGATTATTTGTTTCAAAATAATTATTCAAAATAATAATAAAGACAAATAATAAAACAATTAAAAAAATGGATTATTTGTTTCAAAATAATTATTCAAAATAATAATAAAGACAAATAATAAAACAATTAAAAAAATGGATTATTTGTTTCAAAATAATTATTCAAAATAATAATAAAGACAAATAATAAAACAATTAAAAAAATGGATTATTTGTTTCAAAATAATTATTCAAAATAATAATAAAGACAAATAATAAAACAATTAAAAAAATGGATTATTTGTTTCAAAATAATTATTCAAAATAATAATAAAGACAAATAATAAAACAATTAAAAAAATGGATTATTTGTTTCAAAATAATTATTCAAAATAATAATAAAGACAAATAATAAAACAATTAAAAAAATGGATTATTTGTTTCAAAATAATTATTCAAAATAATAATAAAGACAAATAATAAAACAATTAAAAAAATGGATTATTTGTTTCAAAATAATTATTCAAAATAATAATAAAGACAAATAATAAAACAATTAAAAAAATGGATTATTTGTTTCAAAATAATTATTCAAAATAATAATAAAGACAAATAATAAAACAATTAAAAAAATGGATTATTTGTTTCAAAATAATTATTCAAAATAATAATAAAGACAAATAATAAAACAATTAAAAAAATGGATTATTTGTTTCAAAATAATTATTCAAAATAATAATAAAGACAAATAATAAAACAATTAAAAAAATGGATTATTTGTTTCAAAATAATTATTCAAAATAATAATAAAGACAAATAATAAAACAATTAAAAAAATGGATTATTTGTTTCAAAATAATTATTCAAAATAATAATAAAGACAAATAATAAAACAATTAAAAAAATGGATTATTTGTTTCAAAATAATTATTCAAAATAATAATAAAGACAAATAATAAAACAATTAAAAAAATGGATTATTTGTTTCAAAATAATTATTCAAAATAATAATAAAGACAAATAATAAAACAATTAAAAAAATGGATTATTTGTTTCAAAATAATTATTCAAAATAATAATAAAGACAAATAATAAAACAATTAAAAAAATGGATTATTTGTTTCAAAATAATTATTCAAAATAATAATAAAGACAAATAATAAAACAATTAAAAAAATGGATTATTTGTTTCAAAATAATTATTCAAAATAATAATAAAGACAAATAATAAAACAATTAAAAAAATGGATTATTTGTTTCAAAATAATTATTCAAAATAATAATAAAGACAAATAATAAAACAATTAAAAAAATGGATTATTTGTTTCAAAATAATTATTCAAAATAATAATAAAGACAAATAATAAAACAATTAAAAAAATGGATTATTTGTTTCAAAATAATTATTCAAAATAATAATAAAGACAAATAATAAAACAATTAAAAAAATGGATTATTTGTTTCAAAATAATTATTCAAAATAATAATAAAGACAAATAATAAAACAATTAAAAAAATGGATTATTTGTTTCAAAATAATTATTCAAAATAATAATAAAGACAAATAATAAAACAATTAAAAAAATGGATTATTTGTTTCAAAATAATTATTCAAAATAATAATAAAGACAAATAATAAAACAATTAAAAAAATGGATTATTTGTTTCAAAATAATTATTCAAAATAATAATAAAGACAAATAATAAAACAATTAAAAAAATGGATTATTTGTTTCAAAATAATTATTCAAAATAATAATAAAGACAAATAATAAAACAATTAAAAAAATTATCGATACGTAATATTTTGACAATTGTCTTTAATTTTTGTTTTAGAATTTTTTTTTTTTTCATTTTTTCTTTAAAACATTACCATGAGACAAGGTTATCTTTAGCGTTTAGCAACGGATATATCGATTCGTTAAAATCGATCGAATCAAATCAATTTGTCGCATTTTGAATGGATACGTGATGACGAGCGGACGGATGGCGGACGCATTTTAGACAATTTTCTCCAATCCGCCAATCTGGCGGATAGATGACGGATTTGAGACTCTTTTGACCGCAATTGAACCGTCAAACCATGAACACCCCTAGTAATTTTTAAGATTTTGTGTTTTCAATTAAAAACAGTTTAAATATTCTGTTAAAAAAAAGCTTTCAACTTGAATATCTTTTTTAAATTGAAAAAAATAAACGTATTATTTATCTATATTTTTGGTTTTTAAATCTATCTCTAAAAATAATAAATAGAAACTACTGCTCTGTTCATGGTTTTGGTGGTTTGAATTGTTTTTATATTTTAAGAACCGCAGATTGTAATATTTTATGTGGATGAGGCATGCAGTGATTGTAATATTTTTTCAAGTCATTAATTATAATACTTTTTTTTTTTTTTGAAGAAGTGCACAAGTTGAATTATATTGAAAATTTATAAAATTTTAAACCGCCAAACCAATTCGCATCCATCCGCTAAACTGCCAATCCGCTCAATCCATATCCGCCGAATTGACGAACGGATGCAGATTGATTTTTTCCAATCCGCCAATCTGGCGAACGGATGACGGATTAGAGGTTTTTTGGTCGCAATTGACCTGCGCCCACCCCTAGTTGTATTTTTAAAATATTAAGGGTGAAATAGTCTTTTCACAAATTTATTAAAAGATTTTTTTTAAAGAAATTATTTCAAATAGACCTATTTATTTATTTATTTATTTTAACGAAAACGGTACTTATTTATTTCTTTCCAAATAGGACCCATATAAATAGTAAATTTTATTATTTTAAAAAATAAAATGCTCATCAATAGGATTATGTTCAAAAAGTTGTTTTCAAAATATTTGATACTTTAATTTTTATTTTATATAGAATTTTGTAATTGTCTCTTGAGATGGTGATAAAAGGCTTTTTCTCGTTAAAATAGTCACAAAAAATAAAATAAATTTTTTAATTTAATAAGACAAAATATCACATCCAACTCATAATCATTATATTCTTTCTCACAAAAAAATCAAAAAAAATATAAAAAATCAAAAGTCTTTCCCAAACCAGACTTTTTAACCCCAGATTAAAATAGTCAAAAAAAATCAAAAAATTGAAAAATTAACCCACTTTTCAAACAAGCTCAAAGTGAGATTAGTTGATATTGTGATTGTGACCCTTGCATTATAATTTTACTAACTTCCTAACATCTATTTTGTCATATGATGAAAAAAATAAAAATAAAAAAAAAATTTAACTATAGTACCATTATAAATCTTAATTATTTTACCTAGAGCTCACATTATATCAATTTAATTTTTAATAAATTTTAATTTAATCTAAATTAGTAGGAATTACTCTTTTAATTATAATTTATAGGGTGATGAGAAAGCGATGATGATCACACACTTCATTAAGCCAAAAGAAAAAAGAGAAAAAAGAAAAGATGATCACACACTTCATTGATCTTAGAAAAAAAAAAGTTTTCAAAAAGCAACTTTGCTCTTGGAAGGATCTCTCTTTTTCAAATATTTACGCAGATTCATTTATTCATAATTCAAAATACTATGGGTATATGTTGTAAATTGACAAGACTCTTTTCAGTCTTTGAGGCCTCATTAATCGACAACTAGATAATTATCAATTGGCTTTAATATATGTGCGGGTATATATTTTTTATTACAAATATATCACTAATAAATTTTATAAAATATTATTTATTTATTAATAATATGTATTTAATTTTATAATTAATTTTAATAAAATTTTATTTATTATAATTTTTTTACTTTTAATTATGTGATAATTGTTATGTTTATAACATAATTGTTAATTAAATTTTTTAACACTAATGTTATGTAACTTAAAAAGGAGCAATGATTGAGATCCCATCCCTACAAAATTCTCACAAAACTTCCATAAATCTGAACCATTCATGATATGAATTTTATACATATATGAATAGACCCTACACATACATGGAGGACTATAATCATTTTAGAAGTGTAAGGATCATTCCCAAAGAGAATCCCAAACATTTTTTTTAAAAAAAATTACACAAAAAGTGTTTATAATCAATGAATTATATTTATTCTGTGTGCCTTATATTATATTAATTTTACATTTATATAATACAATTTAAAATGAGTAATTTTCAGACTACAATTATAGGTATATAGTATTTTTTTTATTAATTAATATATATGTAATACAGG